TGATAACTATGAGCACGTGTAGTATATTCAATATATGTAAATTCACGTAGGTGCCCGTTAAATTGAAATCAGTATACCGAACAACCAAGCAAGCACTCATCAAATAAACTCTTTTTTGTATGTGAAGGAATGACTAAGGCAATTTTACGGTAAACTATTTAACAGAAGCTAATGAGTCAATTAGTGATAATACAAATATGAGAAAAAGGTTATTGAATTAATATGGAGATTTTTAGCTCAGGTGGATGATTTGAAATAGATATTTATTTATTTTGATTACAGCTTGGTTCCACACCCTATTTTCAGTACAAGTATGGAATTTTCAGCATGGATATCGGTAGCCCAATTTCAGGCCGACCATAGATATCGGGTGTGCGTCGGCAGGGGATCGAACCCCGGACCATGTGCATGGTCGGCGAGAGTCCTAACCACTGTGCCACCGACGCACACAAGCCAGCCAACACAATCACTTCATTCGATATTGTACAAACCGAAAGATCCACCAGGAAAAGAAGATAAAGTTAATACCATTTACAAAATAAATTGTATGAACTGTAACAGGCATTACATCGGCCAAAGTAGGTGTCCCTTCGAATCCGAATCCAAGAACACAAATTAGCTGTAAAAATGACATGATATATATTCTTTCATATCAATGCATGTAGATAGTTTTGGACACCAGTTTGATTGGGATAATGTCGAAATTCTAAACATAGGAAACACCAAAAGTGCCAGAGAACGCCTAGAAGCCTGGTACTCAAGAGAATCAGCGATTAACAAACATATTAATATAGACCGAATTTACCAATTAATAAGAAATAAATCACGTGACAAGAAAGTTCAAATTCCAAGTGAATAAAAAAAATGATCAATACAGATGTAAATCAACTATCAGTCAGGAAGATGGTTGCCAGGAGACACAATTATATTATTTATTCATGGAGAATCCAAATGAGCTTATGTTAAACTCAAACCTGCACTGAAGATGTTGTCCAGAAGGACGACGAAAGCTTCGTAATTAAACCAACCAGGTCAGAGAACACATTTAATTGCGAAATGTTGTTGAATTCTAAATTTTAAGTATGACTCTGAAGTCCTTCCAAATCTGAAATATATTTAAACGCGTTTTTTAATGAAAGTATTTGGAATAAAATTTTTTGTACAATACTGATAAAAGAGAAGTTATTAGAATTGCATAGATTTAATTGTTTTTAAGGTACGTGGAGCCCTGGATGGCTCTGTCTTGTCCTGCTACAGGACTCCTTAGCAGTCTTCATCAAAGATTCTACATGAGTTTATTAGTGCCTAAACTTTCATCGTTAATATATGTTAAATACTTGGGTTTTGTGGTAGTACAGAAATGTAAATTTAGACATCTTTTACTCATGTGCATTAAGAATGTGCAATTCCAGTTCAACAAAGTCATGTGCTATTAGATTGGCGGAGTTGCAATAGGTAGTTGCTTAGGTCCCATCGTAGAGGATATTTTAATGAGGTACTTTGAACGGCCAAGCTTGAAACAGGCGATAGATGATGCGACTATTTGCAGGAGATGTGTCGTCGACACATTTATTATGTGGTGATGTCAAACATGCCTCTAATTTACTTGACCTGTTTAACAAGGCACATATGAATACAAATTTCACCATAGAATATGAACAGAATGGAAAGCTTCATTTTCTGGATCTTGGAATTTTAAGAACTACAGATAGAAATATACAAAGGTATACTCATCAAAAACGATCCTGGATTTGAGTAGTTTTTGTCTAGCAAGCTAGAAGACAGGTCTGGTGAGGACGCTGTTCTACAGCAGTGGAAAACTTTGTTCGGTAGGAAGATTTAATGGTGAGCCAGGCATCATTGAAAAGTGGTTACGAGATAACGGAAATCCTCAAAAAATTATTGGTAAACAATAGAGAATACAAAAGATGAAAGCGAATTTTGATACAGTAGAGAAGAAACCAGTCTTCCTTAATCTTGGATTCAAAGGTGATGACATATCTGGAAGGATTACATACAGAATAAATGATGCTTTCAAAAAACAAAACTTATCCAACTCTCAAGTTAATCAAAATTTGTTGAATAAAATCCTCAATGAGACAGTCTGTGGTTGACAAGCCCCTCTGTCATGCTACTTCCAACTGCATATATAAGTTTACATGTATGAGTCGAAGCACATACATTCGACGAGAAGAAGGACGGGTTTGTGACCGCATATCTAAGCATATTCCAAGAAACATGTGGCTGAAAGGGGTAAAAGTCACTAGCAGTGAGATTGACTGCCACTCTTTAGGCAGCGGTCATAAAATCGATGCATTAAAATTCTGTAGGATAATCAAAGTTCATGACAGTTCCAGGCAAAATTTCCAGCTCTAGATCCAATGTTGAGTTGAAAGACGATTAAATCTTCGCAGTGAAACCATCCAGATCAGAGAACATAACAACACTGGACACAACATCCCCTAAGCTAAGAATCTCCTCCTTTACAACAATCCTGTTTTGATTGCCACTCATTCTCGAGATACTTAATTATAGACGATTTCAGTATTAATAGCCTTTCCGTGGATGTTTTCTTTCGCCACATAAAATTATTGTACTCAGTTCAAACTTGAGTTTTTGAAAAATGCCTTGTTCATGTGATTCAGTAGAGCTCAATTTCTTAATAACAACCATAACTAAATGCGATCGAATTACAAAAATACTTCAATTGGAATTTGTTTACGGTTCATGTTGCTTTTTCCCATATTTTTTTTCCTTCACATTCCCAGTGGAACATAGGGCCTCAGGCTAGTGGCTTGAAGGTTCTGTAGCAGTGTTTAACTTTTACAGGATAGGGTTGCTAGCCTCATGCCCAACCTTTCCTCTTTACCAGCATTATTTCTGGCGTAGCGAGGTAAAGGAGTGGGTCGGTGACCGGGCATCGAAACCCGGACCATGTGTTTGGTCGGCGAGCGTCCTAACCGCTATGCCACCGACGCACAATCGAATATACTTAAATCTAATTCACAGTATGAAAATTAATTAGTCATTCAGGTTCGAGGTTTCTTTGAAGACTGAAATTATTCAGATCACAAAATGTATGATACGATAAATGTTAATCAGTAGCTGGATGCTACTCACATCAACTAGTAGTGCTCATCAACTTGGTTGATGTGATCTAAACACCGGTCAACCATTTCTGTCGTTCTGAGCCAAACTCATCATCTATGTACCTGGTTTAACTCAGTCCAGACAGCCAAGTTAGTTCAAAGCTAATTGCAAATCTGATTTAATGTATTACAAGTTCACCTAGGTAGCTAGTGAAAATCCGAGTGTCTCGAACTGATTTGGATCTCTGAATGGCATCAAACTGTTCATGAGCTCGTCTCCAAACCAGAAATGAGTCCATCCAGTGACTAAATCACTTCAATCTGGCTAGCAACCACTATCGGTTATTGTGAGTGGTGTCCAACATCTCATCGCAATCAATGAGTGGTATATAGTGAAGTATACGTAAAATAGCAATCTGGATTTTGAATTTTTCATTTTTCTCCCAAAAGTATACTAATTGCTGGTTTCACTCTGAAATCACTGGATCAGACATTAAAATTAGCATCTAAATCTGCTAGTGGTAAGAGGATTTTATTTTCAAGTGTTGGTTTGTAGGGATTTGATTGGTTACAGGATTTCATCATGAGCTGACATCAGTTAGAGAACCATTGGAAAACCTGGGAGTACTGGACAGCTATTTCGTCCTAGTCTGGGACTCTTCAGCAGTACGCACCCACCGGGGTTCGAACCCAGGACCTTCTGATTACAAGGCCAGCGAGCTCGTAGACCATTAAGCCACTGGAACCCAATCCAATGGCCCATGAATTCTAACTTCTGCCAATTCACGACATAGCGCGATCCCTAGCCAATGTCTTCGGCGAGTATTTTCTCAAAGCCTTTTGTTCAGGCATTTGGTCAGCTATTTTAAGTATATATGACAGTAAGCTGATTATAGTCAGCATTTAAAATATGTCTGTTTTTTGTGCTAAACTGCTTGTAATTTAAACACATTATGTTCGCTTCTGAGTCATCTTTTCTCCTGACTGCTGAAATTTTTGTACTTATTAACTATATATTGTGGTAGGCTAACTATCTTTTAACTAGTTAGAATAACTATTGCATTAGCCTTTCTTAGTCGTTTGAGCAACTTCCATGTTAGTGGAGTAAACTCAGGTATTGTTAAGCATTACTGACCCTTTCTTGTTATAGGTCATGTGGTTTATTTCGCCGTAGCACTAAACATAAAGGTTACTGTAATTATCATTCCTATTTCATGTACAGTATTCCCTAAAGCAACCAACTCTTAATAGTTTCTTTTGAACTTTTAGTGATTTTCAACATCACTTCGATAGGGATCGAGTCATTAGTACTTAGGATGCTACAAAGATATTCGTTTACACTGCAAATGTAAAACATTCTATGTCGGATAAATGATATTCGAAATCTCTCCAGTGAATTTATTTCACTATGTAGTCGGAAATCAATGTTTATTGTAGAGGAATTCTTGAAGTAATTTATTGCTATCTTACGCTACATAGTGTGATTTCATGCCAAAATGAGTTTTGACCCCATAGAAACAGATACTTGTTCCCTTAATCAGGATGAAAGATACTTCACACTGTTGGGTTCTATAGAGTGTAAAACACAAGGGTAAATATTAGACGATGATATTGTCTACGTGTAGTGTTACACGTCACAAATCAGTAGGAGTTAGAATTCGTCACCGATTGGTGAGCAGGCTCCTCTCATGAAACAAAGGTCTTTGATTCAATCCCTGGCAGGATCATGGCTTTTAACTACTGAAGAGTTAGAGGCTAAGACGAAACAACTGTACTGTAAGTACTCCATGGTGTTCAATGTGGTTCTCTAACTACTAATATCAATTTCTGATCTCATATGAAAACATGTAATTAATAACTTTCTGCTAATTACTGTCAAGCACCTAATATCATTGAAAAACCAAAATAGTACTGAAAATAATGAACACTTTTATCAAATAAATTTTATTTCTTCACTTTCAACAGAATAAAAATGAGTTTGGACAGAAAACAAAATCAGAAATGTCTTTCGTGCAGTCAAATGAATCATTCTATAAACTTCATAACAACCTTTATTTCTGACTTATTGATTCATTAAATTCACGATCCTAAATATCTCTTTTACCATATCGCATAACATTTCCTGGTGGATTTGGATAATATTCGCCATCACCATTATTGTCTTCACGAGGAGCATTAAATAATTTGCCAATGAGATTTGGGTCTAATGGTTCGAAAAATTGCCGTTTTCGCCCTAGATGTAATGTACCTCCATCGTTAGACAATGGAGGAATACTGCCGGCTGATGAAGTTGTAAAATTTAAGCATATTTGAGCAATAAAGAAAAACAGGAGAATATGACAATACATATTGATTTAGTAGCAGGATATGTTTTTCCTTTTGTTATAGAAACCTTGAAGGGAGTAAATAAAACAAAAGGTAAAAATGAAAGTATTCAGCGTATGATAATAAGTTCTCTTAACTGATAATTTGAAGCCACTCACATCAGCCAATAGTCTTCTCTAGCCAGATCGTTTGGAGCTAAAGTCATCCATAGTATACCCAGTCTGACCAAGCTCAAAGACTCGAGGTTTTCCTGATTGCCATTTATAGCATCCAAGGAGGTCATATATTTTTCGCTGTGAATAATTTTAGATTCTGGAGGAAATTGTGTTGAAATATCAAACTGAACTGTATATACTGTAAATCACTTATTCGATCCAATGTACTATTAGTCACCCAAGTAGCTAACCAGAAGAACTTGGGTAGTTTGAAATAATTGGGCTGTCTGAACTGAGTGAAACCGGGTACATCGTTGATGATATTAGCTCCAAAACGAGAGGAACGATCATCACATCTATCTGGCCAGCGAGCGCTTTTAAATGATATCAGTAGCATTCAACTACTCAAATCAATTTATGAGTGGTATATAGCACAGTGCATTTATACCTGCTTCCTAGACTATCATTTATGGTCCCAATTAAATCACATATTATATGATCTAATTAATTTGTGGTCCAAGAGGCAACTGTGGTAAAATTTCACCTCAAACCAGGTAATTTTTAGATTGGGAATTCGTTTTTGGTACTTGTGAGATGAATGACCTAACCATGAAGATTTTGTCATTCGGAGCTTAAAATAAAATTGACAGAGAGAAGTAATTCGGTTCCAATGAAAAAATATACATAAATTCACTTGAATTTCTCATATACATGTTCAGTTACATGGTACCAGTTAACTGTAAATAACTAACGAAGTTAGTATTTCAGCTGAAAATCAAAAATACTAAAAGAGGTTAGCATTGAAATGGTGTAACCAAAGATTTATGGGTCAGGGTGACGAAAGAAATTATTCAGTGTTTCCATTCTCTCAGCCTTAATACTTGATTGCTTAAGCGTCATCACCAGGCTTGGCTACACCTTCAGAATTAACTTTATTGAGAAATGACATATATTCTCAAGTTGCATGCATGTTTAGCTAACCGTTTTCCTATCTTTGCGCACTTGTGATTGAACGAAGAGATATCACAATGCATCTCACAAGTGTTAACACCTGCGTCATTTTGTAATGAAATATATCGGTATGAAACAGTCGTCCCATGATCCTTAATTTCATTAGTTCTTTGGCTGGTACTGATTCCCGACAAAAGGTTTCACTGTTGGATCGTCCAATGGGGGTGCATCAGAATGGCTACATTCTGATCAAGAAATAAATTTTCAAAGCCTTTTGGCTACAGAGATGTGCCATCTATTCGGGATGCCTAAGTTTAGAATCCCAGTATATTATCTTGAAGACAATGAATTATTTATTTTATTTTGATTTACAGCTTGATTCCACACCATATTTTCAGTACAAGTATGGAACTTTCAGCATGGATATCGGTAGCCCAAATTCAGGCCGACCATAGATATCGGGTGTGCGCCGGCAGGGGATCGAACCCCGGACCATGTGCATGGTCGGCGAGAGTCCTAACCACTGTGCCACCGACGCACACAAAATAGGCCTTTGACAGCCTGGAAAAATTGCATCTGACGACGATATTTCACGCCATCAGTGCGGGGTATTGGGAGTAGTTTTCAACTTGCAATAACCGCGCCTCAGGTAAACTTCATTGGCTACGGTACGGCCACTGCGCAAAGTAAGACATACGAATCGGACCGTTAAGAAACTAGTGGGAAAATTTCTAGAAGCAGAACAAGAATAAGCCTGGGAAATTCTGGTATCACAATGCCTATTGGTGTACAGATAAAGTACACATATGTCAACTGGAAAAATATCCGAGTTGCTATGGGCAGGTCGTCAGTTATGCCTATCCCGTGACACGTTGGGATGACCCATCGACTGTGTTAGAAGTGCTGGTGGAACTACGAGAGGAGATAGCCATGAAACATGATTAGGCATGAGAAGAAATTGATAGGGTACAGAACAGGCAGAAAGATTAGAATATATGAAAAAAGTGGAGGACACTGTTCGATACAGGTGACACAGTGTGGCTTCTACAACTAGGGACTGGCTTCAATCTGTAGAGCAAATTCCAAGTACAAGGGACGGGACCATTTGTATTGAACCTTAAGGTGAGAGAAGATAAGTGTGAGATACAAGAAGACGGGAATAACAATGCACAGAGTATGGTAGTACATTTTATTCAGTCGAAACGATTCAGACAAAGCCAAAAGATGTCGAATATTAATCCTTCCTCTATTAATAATCATAATGATTCAGTACCTGTCCCAGCCATTTGGAAAGTTCTGCTACCCTTACAACGAATAGGAAGGAATAAAGAAGACTATAAAACGAAAGTTTCAAACTTGTGTATTTACAACTGATATAATAATGAACGATAAATTATGTTCGGAACATCATCCAGTAAGTAATACTATCTCACTGTGTGACACATATAATTAACAATTTAATGTGAAATGTGTACCATTCACACAGAGTTATAAATTTCTTTTAAACTGGAAAATTTAACCATTGGCAGTGTTCAATTTTAAATGTTAATATCACTCAGTGTTGACCAGTGGGATTCAACTCAGAGGCTTTAGTATAATATGCTAATTAACTTATTAGGGATGTGTGAATGTGATAGATGTAGTGATGATGAAATAACAAAATTGGATGCAGTATTTAAACAACAGTCATAATAAATGGTGTGCGGCTAAATTAAATTAGTAAAAACTATATATATATATATGTATATATGTATATATATATAGAAACACATTGTATATCCCACTGGGAATAATTATTTAAAAGTAAAAATATACATAACCAACTATCGATGTATGCGTCGGTGGAACAGCGGTAGAATACTCCTCAACCATGCCCGGCCACCGACGCACTTCTTTACCTCGCTGAGCCAGTAATAAAAACTGGTAAACAGGGAAGGTTGAGCATAAGGCTAGCAAACCCATCCTGTAAAAATAGACACCACTGCTACCGAAACTTCAAGCCTCTAGCTTGAAGCCTTATGTTCCACTGGGAAAGTAAAGGAATAGAAAAAAGAAAACTACCGATGGAGTAAACTGGGAGGCCAGCATTCTTTTTAAAGTTATAAGCTTATATAAGACTATTGCATTATTCAAAATACTAGACTTTAACATAGTGGTAAGCAATAATAATAGCTATGGCTTTACTCCAACCAGTACTTTTGATAGAAATATGGAATTTTCAGCGTGTACTACTATATTGTATCTAATTTTCTCTTTACTTAGTACAGAGGGAAGTAATTAAATAGGGTATTTGCATTGATAATATGGCTCAATAAGAATATGAAAATAAATCCAAAAATTAAGTGAAAATATTGACAAAAATATATTAATGAAAGAAAGGAAGAATAAAAAGGGCCGTTTACTTAGTGTTTCTCAATAAATGAGTAGTGTCATACCTAACACTTTTCTCATCACATAAAATGTGTGCCTGACAAATAAGCTATTGTGGAGTTTTTATACTTAGTCGTCCGGGCATACAATCTTCTGTAGTTGCTTCTAGTTCTACCTGACGAGATGCAAGGAGAGAGTTGTGTAAAGAGAGGATGCTTAGGGTCTGACAAGATAATATTCGCTAATTTCTTGCATGAGTCTATGGGTATCATCTACAATAGTAATAACAAGTTGGTTTAATGACATTCCGCTCTCCCTACTGACAGCTTCTAGTGCCCTTAGCAGTTTAACAAAGTGGTCTTTCTTAAGTAGCCCAGGCAAGATTAAGGGTTGAGCAGTAGAGAAGAATAGGTAGAATACAAGGATTAAAAAACTGTGTGAGTAGAGATTAAGTGATACCAGATTGTCTCAACTTCCTTACATAGAACGTTTAACGAAATATTTTTCTAGAGGCTAAAATGATATGGGAAGACCGGGAAAGATCAGATGAAATACAAAATTCAAGGTCTTTAGCATTCGATATAGTTTTAACTTCCGTGCCATCTATGATAGTGGAACTATGCAAATTGGACCAGTTCATGTGAGTCGCTCTGGTGTCTAAAAGTGAAATTAACAATCAAACATTTGGAAGGATTTAACTTAAGACCACTTGACAATAACCATTGACTGGTTTCTGACAAAATGTTATTCATTTTGGAACAATATGACTAAGAAGTAACCGGTAAAGAAACAGTCAGATCATCGGCACACCTAAAAAATGGCTTCATTAGAATGAGGCGAGTCATTTAAGAAGAAAGAAAAAGGAGAAGGAGAAAGAACAGTATCTTGAGGGACACTGGCTAGAGTAAGCAAACCAGTAGAGGATTTCCCATTACATACAATGTACTGCTTCTTATTAGAAAAGTAACAATGTAACCATTTATTAATCCAGCACCCTGCTCGTGTCTCAGCAAGCTTGTCTAACAACAGAGGCCTAGGTACAGAGTTAGAGGTAGATGTGTAATCTGGAAAGTCACAACAAACATATTTGACACCTCTGTCTGAACTACAGACAATATTATGATGTAAGACAATGGTGACATCTAAAGTGCACCTACCGTGTTTATAAGCGAATTGTTTGGGGTCATTAGAAGCCTTCATTGGCGGTTCAAGGTTAAGTAAAAGTAGTTTTTCCATTATATTTAAAAATGATGAGGTAATAATAACGGGTTTAAACTTAACACTTGATCCACTTGACGATTTAGGCACACGAACAAGTTCAGTATCCTTCCAAGAAACAGGCATAACATGAATAAGAAGGAATCTAAGGCATCTACAGTTCTACCATATAGAGAGGGGATATCTGAGACCCTACATAGGATTCTTAATAAATTAGTTATTAGGCTGTCATTTAAACCAACGTACTTCCTCAGCGACAAGTTCTGTAGGCTAAAGAACCTTAGTGACCCAAATAGACATAATAATGTATTCTACAAAATATCTTGCAATGAGTGTGTAATAAAGTAGGTAGGTCAGGCCAGTAGATCGGGGG